CAAATGGTCATGGACCCTTGCAATCAGCAAGGTACGGCCGACATTGGAGTCTTGGTTGCTCTGATGTTTGGTGTCTCTGGTGTTATGTTCTTTCTCACACTTGAATAAACTTAATGCATTTGGATATATTTGGATGCATTTGGTAGAACCTTGGCTCATTGGTGTATTGGTGTGAGAAGCCTGGTTCAGCATGTCCCCATGGTTGCTGGTGTTGGCGGCTTTGCAGCTGTGCTCCTGTGGCAAGCTGCCATCAATCCGTGATGATACCACGCGCACCATGCCAGAAAACATGTTTTTTGCTTGCAGTTCATATATTAGCTGACTAAGACTTGACAGAATGAACATGTTCATTCATGTCCCAGGTACTTCAATAACATGTTTCTTCACTCAGGTGGTTCAAAGCAGAGGACCACATGCAGGACTTGACGCAGTGGGCCTGGATGCTGCACCGCAAGAGCGGGAAGGTCTTTGATGCGCTCGATATTTTTGGCGCTTCGGAGCAAGTGACCAAAGTCTGGAAGAGCCACGGGTTCTCTTCCATTTCATATGATTTGAAATTGGATGAGATGCATGACCTATGCTCTGAGAATGGCTTCTTCTGCCTTTTAAGGCTAGGAATGCAGCAACTTGACGCAGCTGGATTTTGTAGAAACATTTTTCTCTACAAAATTCACTGTTCTGTCTTTGGCTCATTCCAATTGTCTTGACTCTCTCTGCTGAAATCAGGGGGTCGTCCTTTCATTTGTATTCTTTTGTCTATTCCAGCATTCCTGGTTAAGCCAAGAGTATCCAAGATAAATCTTGCTTGTCCTAAAACAATGCCAATGCTTCTTTGTGCAATTGCAACGACAATCAAGTGAAATCGGTGACTCCAACTAAGGGTCAAAGATGACGGGATCTTGATTGCTGCGCCGCCGTGTTCAATGTATGGCCCAGCGTGCAGCTCCGTGCGCAAACGTACTATACACAACGTGCGTGGTGATCATTCCCGCTTCAAGGTCAGATTGGCAGCGCGAATTTGGTCAAACTTTGCTTCTGGGCGGCACAGGGACCGGGATTTCAACAAACCCTGCTGCATCAACAATTTGTATTCCAGCATTCTTGGTTAGGCAAATAGTAGTCTTGGGTACCTCATTCTGTGCAGATCTTGAGACGCCCCATTTAGTAGAGGAAATCTAGACAGGGATCCCTCTAATGTGAATTTTGTTGACCTCATGGAGGGCCCCTGTGAATGCTGGGCCCACCTCGATCCAAGATCTCCTTTATGGTGCTCATGAACGAGATCCGCCCGGGCCTGCTTACACTGATTGAGCAACCTTCTGGAAGCTGGGCCTTCAAGCAGCCTGAATTCATCAGGCTCATTGGGGCAATGGGTTTGATTCTTGGCTTTGCTGAGATTTTCAGGGAAATATTGCCTAAAGCGTTGAGGAAAGATCTTTCAGGCAATGATTACAGAACTGTACAGAACTATGTAATGGATTGTAATGGATTTTTTTATGGTGATGTAGCTCGCGCCCAGGTCACTCACTCTCACCTGGATGGCATTCTTCTCCCACGACCTTCTGAAGGCAACACACCTTCAATCGAACTTCAAGACGCTTGAATGCAATTCAGGCAAGATGACATGAAATACATAAATGTAACAAGATGAGTTGGGACAAGCTCTCTAGGCTAGCAATATTTTTGAGAGATTTTACCTTAGGGAAGCAGAGACTACTTTGGCACGGAAGATGAAGAAGGAAGACAAGTCTAGATTCAAGGCTGCTTGCCATGAGTCCAGGATTTTGCATGCTGCTGCTTCATTTTGTAGAGCATTCCCGCCACTTCATTTTGTAGCAAGTTGCTGTGAGTCTGAATTTTGTTGACCGCTTGCCTTGTTCCTTGTGCTATCGCAGAAACGCTTTTCGCGAAGACAAGCCAAGAGGTCGACAAAGAAGGAGACTTGGCTCCATTTTGCCTGTAAGTGATGAAGCCAGCTGCGTCCATTTGTAAGTGATGAAGCCAGCTGCGTCCTGTGATTACGCGTCTCAGGATTACTACCATCGTACAGTGAGTTCAGCTGGCAAATCAGGCTGGCAAGGAGGGAAGCATCTTGCCAGCTCGGCAGCTTTCGCAACCGCTTTTTGTCAGGCAGTTTTGAGTGCTTGGCTGAAAGCCAGGGAACGGATGCAGCTTGTTGATCAATAGATCACTCAATGCGTGCCAGATGTGGGCTCCAAGCTGCCAAATCTGTCTTGTTTCATGTTGTAAGGGTTGCAGTAAAGCCACACGTGTACCAGGCTGTTCTAGCTGGTGATGAGAACCGTGAACCGTCCGCTTTCACTTGGGAAAAACAGAATGTTGAATGGAGCAGAGTGCGAGCAACGTTGCAATGCCAAACATGCACTCATGAAGTCATGAAATACTTTGAAATGCTGTGCTGCCTCAGGAAAGCCCTGTCCTCCACCCACCCGAATCGGCCAGTGC